GTTCAGCAGCTATGTGCTGACCATGACAAACTCAATGGAGAGGTTGACAATTTAAGAAAGACAACTCCAATAGTTTTGTGGGTGAAAGATCTTGAGGCTCTTGAGATGCAACTTGATGTATGTGCATAGTCAACACTTGATATTTACTTGTTTTCATTTACTTTTTTTCCACTTGGCTATTTCATTTTCTTTGCCTTCGTAACTTTTTCTTTGATGTGACATCTTTGATTTTTATGCAATACATGCATTTAGGTGCTGGATAAATATGATGCTGAAGCAGAGGAGGCAAGAAAGAAATTAAAAGGTGATGCAAATGGCGAAGCTGGTTTTAAGGTTTCTAAACAAGCACCTAAAAATCCAAGGAAGTACACTAAGAAAGCCATAAATGAAGAAGTATCTGTTGAGACCATGGGAAAACCATCCAGTTCTACAATGGAAACAGGTCAGCAGGCAGGTAGAGATGCTTCTACTAACAAATTATCTATTCTTGGCATGTTTTAGAAGTTTCCCTGAGCTTTGTTAATGTTTACTCATCTGTCAGAGAATGCTGCTGAGGTAGTGAAACCCAAAGGAAGGGCAGGATCAAGGAAGGCTCCTGCTAAAAAGGTACTCCCTTAAACACCCCCGCCACACCTCCCCACAAACAGCAAACAGAATTGAGCTTTTTGAAACTTATCACCTCCTGTTTCTGTTCACCAGCAGGAAAAACCCTCTCCAAGTTCGGATGAGGATGATGAAATAGAATCGCTGAAGGACCGACTTAAGGCATATAGACTTGATTCTTCGCCTGAGCAATCAGCTGGTGAGTTTTTCTATCCAATTTATTTCCCATTGTAAGAAATTGTTGAACCTGGAGAATTCCAGTTTTTCTCTGTTAATTTCAAAGGACGCTTCGATGCGGAGACACTTGTGTTTGGCCATAGATTGGACATCTTTACTTGTGACCTTAATGGTTATTGGTTTATTTTACTGTCACAGACATGGAGACTGATGTGCTTCGAGTACCAGCTGGGAGAAACGCTGCTAGGAAGAAGCCTCTAGCAGCTGTCTCAGTCATTTCTGATAGTGAGGACGAACCAGATCTTGACGATGACTTCGATGTACAAGTGAAAGCTGTCCCAGAAACAAAAAAGAAGGGGGGGAGAAAAGCTGCTGCTGCAAATGATAAGGCGGCCAAACCACCTGCAGCGACGAAGAGGAGAGGGCCAGTCAGCAAGCAGTCCCAGGGATTGGGCCAGCAGCTTCTAACTGAAATGTTGAAGCCTGCTGAAGAATCAGGAATATCTCCAGAAAAGAAAGTGAGGAAAATGAGGGCATCTCCATTCAACAAGAAGAGTGGTTCTTTATTGGGCGGAATTGAAACAATGCCAGCTTCTTCTACATCTGAAAACGCCGATGTCATCGACGTGCCAGCAAAAGCAAGACCGCAGAGGGCAAACCGGAAGCAGACTAGGTATGTGTTGAGTGACTCTGAGAGTGAAGATTCTGATTTTGAACAGGCTAGTGAAGATTCGGACTCCGACTAAGGTGGTTTGCTTGGCTTAGGGAACTTTAGACTAGGAAGGGGAAACTCGAGCAAACTTAGGGAACTTTAGACTAGGAAGGGGAAACTCGAGCTCATTTCCCCATGAAAATTGATTAAGGTTTGCTTGGTTTAGGGAACTTTAGACTAGGACGGGGAAACTCGAGCTCATTTCCCCATGAAAATTGATTAACTGCTTGTCAGCAACAAATTTTCTTGAGAGTACTCGTTTGATGCTTTCTTCATATATATTCTGTGTCCCATTTTTATTCTCTTCGCTCCATTTTCTTTTCCTGCCTTTTCTATTGTTCAAATATCAGACTAATCATGAGTTGCCGATGTATTACAAAAATAAGTAAATATCAAGCATTGGTGGTCTTCCTCCGACAACCTATTCCTTGTTCCTAAGCTACAAGTTTGCCATGGGTATTATATAAATTGAAAAGGTCATTACCATTGGTTGATGGGGCATGAATAAGATTTTTTAAGAGTAGACGAAGAATAACGTCGGAAATTTTCACCGGAGATGCCTTCACAAGTGGCAGTACATATGGATGCTTCAATTGAATCATCTTTCATCATGAGGTGTACAAACATGTGATCATAACAAAAATAAAGAATACCATATTTGCCAAACAAATATATAATTCTGCATGAAAAATTGTAATGGTATAAATGAAAAAGATAAAATAAAATCAAAATGGTATTACATGGGAAAAGCATTAAAATATTTTTATCAATTTTACTTTTTCATATTAAAATATTATGGTTCTTTTTAAGAGTTTAGGTTTGTAATTTATTTATTTTTATTTTATTTTTAATGAGGTTAGTATGATTTGCATGTTTGTTAAAATAACTCAAGTTGCTTCAGTTTATAGGTTTGGTGGGGTATTTTTTATTCTGTTGTCTTAATTTAACATGACTTTCTTATAATTTTTTTTACATATAGTTAAAAAATAATAATTTGAGAGAAAAATCATGTTATTAAATATTATAAAGTAACAAAAATTAAAAAGCGTGAGGAAACCACTGTTCACCTATAACAAGTGTTCTAATAGTATTCCATAACGTTTTATTTTTTTATTTTTTTTTTGAATTTTTTATGATTTTTTTAATTTAATTTTGTCGATTTCATCTTTTAATATTCAAATGATTGAAAATTTGCTTTATAATTTTTTTTTCATTTTCATTTTTTCTTTTAATAAAGTTAACGTGGTTTGCATGTTTGTTAGGATAATTTAGGTTATACTAGTTTATGTATATCATCCCCATATCTAGGATTAAGCAAGAGTCTCATGTCAACTGATACAGAAAGTAATTAAATTATATATATGTGTGTGTGCGCGTGTGCACAAGGAGTTCATATTAAATTTTACTGAAGTTTTTACTAAAATTTTCGTAGAGTCTCCCCTATATCGGGAGGTCCCAAGATATCAACATTTAACATGTTTACACTTCTATATTTCATATCTCATAACTCAATCACGACAATCGTCTTGAGTCTTAATCCCACAAACATCATCATCATCATAACCATAATATTGATAATTTAAATTGAACAACAAATATCATTATAGAGGAATAAATGAGATAAACATGTGTGCATGGACACAATCGTATGAAATTCAAAGCTAAGATTATCTATTCAAATTTAAACATTGATTATACAAATTAAGTTATATAAAAGTTGTAATATTACAAAATACATGGGTATACTCTCTATCGTGCATGCGATAGTCCTGAAATAAAATATATATTATTGAAACATAAATATCACAATAAATATAACAAGACAAATATCCAACAATTTAAAAAGACAAACATGTATTTATATTTTATTCACTTCTCCCATCTAGTTTTCTTTGGAAACTTTTTCTCATTTAACTACTAAAAACCGTTTCCTCTTTCATTATCAACCTCTATTCAAAATTTTATAAGATCAATCATGATTATTTCCGCTTAACACATTACTGATACCAATTTCACTTATATCATCATCACCTTGTAGGAGTTGATGCATGGTGATTCCCTTCCTTGGGATCCTAACATGCATTAAATAGATGTTAGCCACTGCATATTGATCATCTTACTCGAGATCCTAACATACATTTAATGTATGCTAGTCAAAACATGATGATCCCCTTACCTGGGATCCTGTTATACGTTAAATATATGCTAATCCCAACATGAAGATTCTCTCACGCGGGATCTTAACATACACTAAATGTATGTTAGTCATTGTCCCATATCACACTTTTCATATTTCCATTGTCAACGATAATTTAATCACTTGACAGTTCACACAATAACCTTTCACCTCGAATACTCATATATTTAGAATACTTTTTAAAATATTAACATCATTATGTAAATTTTCCTTCTTTCACATTATATCCAACATTCAGTAATTCACATTTTACATCAATAACATATTAAATCAAGGGATTTAATTAAAAAGTATAAGTGTCGATCACCTACCTGCAGTAGAAACTCTATTAGTGTTCCCCTACTACTGTTGCTGCTACAGCACCATTCTGGTGGTCCTTCTAACAATCACATGTTTATCTCGTAAATTTTTCTCATTCAATGATACATTTTATAATAACCGTATCTTCAATTATTTCTTTTTTTATATTTGGACTGTTATAGTTTAAATTTTGAACTGTTACAGTTTAAATTTTGAATTGTTACTGTTTTGAATTGTTACTATTTTGAACCCTTACTCTCTCGAATCGTCACTGTCTATAGAGATCGCATTTCGACCTCTTCTCTGAATTTTAACTCTATCTGAAGTTCTAGGACTCCGTTTCACATGTTTGGCTGGTTGACTTGTTTCTTGAGTTTGACAAGTTTAACTTTTTTATTTTTATTTTTTTAATTAATTTGTTTTTGTTTTATACTTAGATATTGAGTTAATTAAAAATTCAATTTTATAATTGATCTTGTTTCACCTTTTATGAGGTTATTACATTATGAAGTTGTGTTTGATTTGGCAATCATCTATTTTTATTATCATATAATTATATAAAAAAAAAATTTTAAAAAAAATTATAATTTCAGGTTATTACACAGGTTTGGCATGCTAATTTAGGTTACCCAATTCACTTGACGAGTTAACCTATTAATCAAATATGCTTTTTTATTTTTTTAATTTATTTTTTATTTCATCTTTTAATATTGAATTGGTTAGAAAATAAATTGCATACTTGATTTTTTTATGAGGTCCGTAGGGATAATTGTCTCAAATAAGTGTTTATTTTTAAGTTGATACTTAATTTTATGAGCATTTATTTTTATCATATAATTAAGTAAATATATTTGTTAACTTGGGTCGTGGAGGGACCGGGGTCGATCTAATATGTGATTGTTTTAATATTTTTTTTAAAGGTTATTATCTTTATTTTTTTTTTAAAAGTTAAGTCATATTTTTATTGATCACCAAAGTTGAAGGTTGCATTTAGAACTATGAAATCAATCAATTTAAGTTAAGCTAGCTTTCACAAAGTTTAATTAAAAACTTATGTTAAATAAAAAGTTAGGTCGAGAGGTTTCAATATTAACCATTTTGATCAGGTTTAATATCACTCTTAAATAATTCTTCACACTTTTAACTTTTGTTTTTTTACTTTAAGAAAAACTAGTATATCTGGCGGTGGAGAGGGGACCAATAGATTTGTTAACAAAATCTAAGCTTGGTGGGGAAATCATTATAGCAATGAACAATGATTTCCCCACTTTAACCCTTAAAAAAACATATATTAAGGGTAATTTAGTTTTTTATTAGAATACATTAGTCATTAACAAATTGATTATAAACAAACTTGACTCATGACTTCCATTATAAATAGTTAAATGATTTAATTGGCCTTATAAGAAAAAAAAATATTATCTTGCTTCCAAAGACATTTTAACATTTTATTTTCCAAGCACATTTAAATTATTCATTTGTCATAGGAAGAGACAAAAATAAAGCTTCCTTCTAAGTGGTTTTTTGCCCTTTTCTTTCGGTACTTTATTTTATTTTTTATTATAATTAAGTTGGTTTAAGAGTAATTTAATTTTTAACAAATATAAAATATTAATAAAAAAAGAAAGTGATTGGTCAGAATATGAGAATATCCTACCATTTATATTTTATATCCAATTTAGTCTTTACTCTTTTTATTGTATTTTAATCTTTTTCTAATTATTATTTTTTAAATTCATCCTTAATCATTTGGTTTTATTTGATTTTCATATCAAATTTAGTTCTCATGCTTTTATTATTTTTAAATCATTCCATCAATTAATTTGTTTTTTAAATTTTATCTGTCACTATTTGCTTTTGATTTATTTTTTTGTGTTGAATTTTCCCCCTATTTTTTTATTTCTTTTTTTTCTCGAGATTTCTTCCCTTTGTTTTTTGACTTTGGTCTTTTCTAGTTTTTTTTTTAAATTCAATTTCATTCTTTAATATTTGATTTTTTTAGAATTGGTCTGTTTATTTTTTTTATTATACTTTTTATAGGATTATTCAAATCTTATTCTTATGGTCGTAGGGTTAATAGGTTAACTCATATTTTTTTTTTAATTTTTTTAGTTTCATGCCTCAATAATTTTAATTAAGAATTTTTCTTTGTTGTTTTTTGAATTTGCCTTCTACATGGTCATCCTCGACCTTATGAACACAATCACAAGTTTTGAAAGTTAACTTTGGTCATTTTATGTCTCTTTTTCTTTATAAAAAATCAATTTCATCATCCAATATTTTTTTGGAGTTGGTTTTTATGCTTTTGTTTTTCTCACTTTTCTTACAATAGGGCTATCCCAATTCTGCTTTTATGATCATGAGGTTAGCGGGTTAATCCTAGTTGACTCGAATTTTTTTTCCTTGACTTTTTATTAGAATTTTTTTTAAAGTCATGCCTTGATATTTTTTTTATTGAGAATTTTTCTTCATTGATTTTTTGGGTTTTCCTATTGTGCATTAAGTCTTGATCTTTTGATTATGGCCATGAGTTTTGAAGGTTAACACGGGTTGATTTTGATCTTTTTAGATTTTTTTTATTTTTTTTCAATTTCATCATTTAATATTTTTTTTGAACTAGTCTTCATGTTTTTTTTTCACTTTTATTTTTATAGGATTATCTCAATCATATACTTATAGTCACGAGATTAACACAGTTTGACCTATTTTTTATTATTATCAGTTTTATCATTCAATATTGAATTGTTTTATAGTTAAGTTTCATGATTTAATTTAATTTGTT